TCAGTACTTCAGTAGGTTGGTATATTAACATTATATCAGTTAAATAAGCTGGCTACTTTTACAACTTAAAAAATTAACCATGGTTTTACTATTAAACAGTGAAGTAGTAACGGTAGTGAAGTATTTTTACTCCGCTGTAAAAGTACTTTTCAAGTGTCTGTACTTTATCAGTGTTTTTCTTTAGAAAACTTTACTTCACAACATTCCAAAGCATAATATTGCACTTTTTACTGCACTACGTTTCATATTAAACATCATTTAATACTTAATTACATTAGACATCTATTAGTTTCTTTCTTTTACTCAAGTAAAAGTAACTGAAAGATTTACTTGAGTACAAGAAAGTACTAATGTTCATAAGTATTAAAGGTACAAACAAACAACAACTTTTATTTATGAAATGTAGTGCAGTAAAAAGTAAGACCTTTGTAATACACTGATAACTACCAAAAGCAGGTGGCGATGAGAAAGTCACATGATGAACCAAAGCTCATAAAAATGTTGCTACCGTATTTTTTACGGTAAAATTCTGGCAACTACAGCTGTTGATTTTTTTTACCGTAAATTGTACGGATTTTTTTTTGTACAGTGTGGCATCTCCTCTAAACTCTCGTTGTCATCAGAGAGCGTCTGACTTGACCTGTCTTTGGTGATGTGCTTGCCGGTGTTGGGATGAGGGATGTAGCTGCCTCTGATGCCCAGCAGGTGTCCACAAACATCGGCCTGCAGAGGAGAAGGAGTGGGGCGCGAGGCCGGCGAAGTGCGGGAACCGATGATGTACGCCACCAACGACGTGGGGGAGGTTCGGATGATGGAGTTGAGGTCGAGGCCGATGCCATCGGACAGAGGAGACAAGGACAGCGCTCGCTTTTTGGAGCGGGCTGAGAGCCGCTGACTGCTGGCGTCCTCCTTGAAGAGATAATGCGGTAGAGACGTGGGGTTGGAGACGGATTCGGACATGGAGGTCCAGGGAATGAGATTGGGATCGGCTGCTTCTGAAGTCTGGTTAAACCCTAGTCCTAAAGGAGGCAGAACGCGGTAACCGTAGGGCCAGTCCAGCTTACTGCTGCGAATCGATTGCGTCTCGGCGATGCTGAGGGTGGTCGAGGCCAGGGATTCTCTAGACAGCAAACACCTGCAATAGATCGCCCAAAAATTGCAGCAAAACGTCCAAGTATTGTCAAGTTATGTTTACCACCTAGAGCTTATTTACTCATGAACAGTGTTGGGAAGTAACTAGGTACATGTAACTAAATTACGTAATTTAATTGCAAAATAAATGTAATCGTAATCAGTTAGTGACATGTGGCTAAGTATGGTTACCCATACTAGGAATTAGTGCTCTGCATTTATCCCATCCTAAGTGCACACACACAGCAGTGAACACACACACATCGTGAACACACACCTGGAGCCCGTGAAGCCGTGAATGCCCCTTAGCTGTTATAAACTCACTGTAAACCACGGCTTCACGGGGCTTATTGCTTTATTAAATTACAGTTACTTATGAAAATGTTAATGATTACAACGGGAGTTACATCTGATTTAATACATATGGATTTAATCGATTTCTTTCATAAATTGCTGTGACTGCTCGAATATATGAGACACCAATGTTTCAGGAGTTTAGGACACATGCTTATTCAATAACTGTTTTATTTCCTATTTGGGTTTATGTACATTCTTTTTTGTTTAAAGATTAACAGTTTTTTCCCAAGCCATTGTTAGATGCCAGTGTTTCCTGTCAAAGATATGCAAAGATTTGATTTCAAACTAGACTAGTTCTTGTTATGGTTTTAAATCAGTATTTAACCTCAGAATGATCTCTGATATCTGAATCAGATAAGTCTGATTTTGTGGTGGCTGTGCTTTAAAATTAAGTGATTATAATCTTAATTCAAGGGATAAAGGATTGCGAAAGCGATAGTAATCAGTGTTGAGTTCTACTTATTTGAAAATGATTACCAGTTGAAAACATTAGAAATTTAGAAAAGCAATCAAATGTAATCAGTTACATTACTTTAAGAAAGTAATTGAAATAGTTACACTACTTATTACATTTTAGACAGGGTAACTTGTAATCTGAAACCTATTACATTTCTAAAGCAACCTTCCCAACACTACTCATGAATTGATGAAAATCTCAAGGGAACCCATTGTGAATTAGTCTTACAGGTTTCGATGTCAGGACTGAAACACTCCAGATGACTTTCTCTCTACTTTGAGAATATCCCCGTCACTCTTTTCCGTTAATTTAAAGCAGACTGGGGCCGTCAAACTCCAAAAGCAAGATACATAATGGATCACAATAGCAGTTTACATGATTGCCAAGTCTATATTCAAGTCTTTTAAGTTATGTTATGCTGTGTCAGGTCTGTCGTGGGAACACTGGAAATCCATTTAGGTTATAAAAACGTTGTGGGAACATTGTTTTGAAATGTTTGTAAAGCGTTAATGTGTCCAGGTTACTTGTCGTGATTATAAAGTTTAATGGCTACAAAACGTACCTTACAGCGTTCCACTAACATTATTCTCACCCAAAATGTTATTTTGAACATTTATTCTTAATATTCTGCAAATGTTAAAATGTACAGTTTTCCTGTCATTATTAGAACATTGTTTAAAGGTTATAAAAACGTTTCATAATAACATCATGTTAATCTCAGAATGTTTTCTCTCAATGTTATGAGAACATACATCAAATATTAGTAAAGTTATAAGAACATTCCATGTAGAATGTTTTGTCCAAACATTTATATATCTTTTAAAAAACGTTCCCTGTTAGTTGGGAAGAGACAGCCAATGCTATTTGCATAAATGTTTTCCATATGTCAGTTCTTTTCCATGTGACTTTTGTAGTCCATTTAAGATCTTCACCAGAGGAGATGAAAGAGAGAACAACATGAGGGTGAGTAAATAATGACGTGCCAAGTCTAAATATGAAGAAGCATGAATGAGACTTTTGGTAGAAAGGAAGGTACCCTTTCATGGGAACTTCGAACTGCGCCCTCTAGGGGTCGCTATGGGGAAACCTAGAGGACGCAGTGTCTCGTTCCCTACTCAGGGAACCATGGTCACATAAGTAACCTGAGACGTTCCCTTTCATGGGAACTTCGAACGGCGTCCTCTAGGTTTCCCCATAGCGACCCCTAGAGGACGCAGTGTCTCGTTCCCTACTCAGGGAACCATGGTTACATAAGTAACCAGAGACGTTTTCAGTGGATAATGACTATATCGACCAGTTCGTCCTTGGAATACAGTGCAAATGGACTATTTATATGGTACTTTTTGGAGTTTGACAGCCTGTAGACAATGCACGCTTTTGTTGTACAGCTTAAACATACATAAAAACATATTCTTTTGTTTGTTATGGAACACAGAAATTAATTTCCTTTTCACTCTTAAATATAAAGGTTCTTCATTGGTGTCTATGGTTCCATGGAATCTTTATCATCCATGGAATCTCTTTATTTCTAAGTGTGTGAGGATATTTACCTGGCATCAGTGAAGGGAACAGCGAGTGAATGAGGTGGGCCGTTTTGGACTGAAGTCTGTGAAGAAACCGGACCCAGACTCTGGACCAGCATGGCATTGCTTGTCACCTGCACGTTTGAACTGCTACACGGCCCAAACACTTTTCTGTTCATCCCCAAAGACAAGTAACCTGAGAAAGAGTCACGTGAGGCAGGAATAGCTCCTTACACTGTACTGTCAGGATAAAATCTAGCCATTAAAGAGCAGGAAAAACTGGCACTAAAAGACTCTAAACCAGTCTCCAGCAGAGCACTAATAATCAAGCTCTGCATTTCCAATAGATCAGAGGCAGTACTGCCCTGGAGATATAATCATTTTCCTTCCTTGTACTGCATAACAGAACTATGATTGGTTTGTTGAGATGCATATCCTGATTACTCAGTACTCATTATTCTAGCTTTATTGTTTTCATGCTGTCGATTAGACGTAACTTCAAGAGAACATCTTATGTTTGCAGATTACACATTACGATTATGCTAAGAATTCTGATATTTTAAGATCATTTGTGAGCCTGGAGCACAAAACCAGTCATACGTGTCAATTTTTTAAAGCTGAATAAATAAGCTTTCCACTGATGTATGGTTTGTTAGGATCGGACAATATTTGGCCGAGATACAACTATTTGAAAATCTGGAATCTGAGGGTGCAAAAAAAAATCTAAATATTGAGAAAATCATCTTTAAAGTTGTTCAAATGAAGTTCTTAGCAAGCTTTCTCCCGTCCGGGACATCATCCAAGCCCGCGGCTACAAGGTACGTCTGAAACGACACATACCACCGCTCCCACGGCACGACAGGTTCACCAGCGTGGGACAGAAATGGCTCAGGGGGAGGCAGAGATAAATCCCATCCTCGTCGCCAAATGTTATGTTCAACAAAAACACATAAAAACAAAGCTTCGGGTGAATGCTAGTTTACTCAAGGAACTTCAGCGGCAACAGCAACGGAATACGGTACAACTGTATAGCCTGCACATCAGCATGACTTCACGACAGTATTACTACAACAGATAATAACAACGAGGAACTGGTTAGCAACCACAACAGTATAATTGTGACCCATACAGTGTATTGTTGGCTATTGCTACAAATATCCCCCAGCGACTTAACACTGCTTTTGTCCTCCAGAGTCACAAATACAAAGTGCAGCGATTCAAGACTCAATAATGACGGCCTATGGTGTCTTTTCATGCTTTGAAAATTTATGCTGATTATTAAATATTAAGTTTAATATTGTTGTTGCAAATTGTGCTGATTAAGTTAACTAGCTGGCTAATATATGAAAACATGAGGTTTTGCTCAAAAAAATAAAAATAAAATAAAATAAAGACTTCATCTCAAAAGCATCAATATTACTAGGTTATAAATCACAAATCAATCGGTTATTTCCAGATGTTATTTAAAATTAAAAACCTAGTACGTTTTTGTAAAGCAAACGTAACATTAAATAAAAAGCATTTTTGTTTAGACTACCGGAGCTTTTGTCCTCTAACGTGATATTTTCGGTCTCTATTGAACAGAAACACATGAATAGTCATGGAATTCCTATAACAAACCCGTAAAGCCAAGGAAGCGTTTCTGCTCTGTTAAGTACTAATGAGTTTCTCTCTCTGCTTTGGTTCCATGGCTCGTTTGGGTACAAGCTTTCTGCTTGGTTAATCATCATAAATATGAGAGCCAGGGTTTGGGGAGAAGACATGGACGGATGCTATTGAAGTATAAACCAGTATGTAAATCAGTACGATGTGTTTTTAAGGAGGACCAGACAAGATGATGTTCAGAGTTGTCTAGTTTTCTTGTCATGATTACAATGTCATGTAAAGGTTACAAAAACATTCTTACAGCATTCTATTAACTTTTTAACCCAAAATATGTTATTTGAATGTTTGAATATTTTAAGAATGTTAAGAGGTTCAGTTTTTGTGTCGCGATTAGAGTGTTATTTAACGCGTACAAAAATATTTCTTAGAAAGTACAAATTCTAAGAATGTTTTCTCAACATTATGAGAACGTTTGAGCACAAATATCATCATAATGATGTTGTGAGAATGTTGATGAACAACAGAATGTTTTGTTTACTTAAGAATGCTTTGTCCTAACATTAATATGTGACCCTGGAGCACAAAACCAGTCATAAGGGTCAATTTTTTTTAAATTGAGATGTATGCATCAGCTGAAAGCTGAATAAACAAGCTTTCCATTGATGTATGGTTTGTTAGGATAGGACAATATTTGGCTGAGATGCAACTATTTGAAAATCTGGAATCTGAGGGTGTAAAAAAATCGAAATATTGAGAAAATCATCTTTAAAGTTGTTCAAATGAAGTTCTTAGCAATGCATATTACTAATCAAACATTAAGTTTTGATATATTTATGACAGGAAATGTACAAAATATCTTCATGGAACATGATCTTTACTTAATATCCTAATGATTTTTGGCATAAAAGAGAAATGTATAATTGTGACCCATACAATGTATTGTTGGCTATTGCTACAAATATCCCCCAGCGACTTAACACTGCTTTTGTGCTGCAGAGTCACATATTGATTTTATGAGGTTTATGATTATGACACTATCAATGATAGCACAAATCAACTATACTGAATCAACACTGAACTAATACAATACTATTGTCTTCTGTAAAGCAGCTTTATGCCTGAAATTGAGTTTGTTTCATAATCGAAGGATTTTATATAACGCTATATTGTGTAAAGCACCATTAGAAAATGCATTTCCAACACAATTGTCTATGAAAGTTGTTTTTTATTAATTAATTAGATGGTGAAGGTTGTAAAATAGGAGTACTTGTTGACATCGGCTGAAGGAAAGACACACCAAAGGACATCCTGAGCACGGAGAAAGAAAGTAAATGGGTTTGATTTTGATTTCATGTTGACTTTATTAAACTGTATTATATACTGTATGTAGGACTGATTAAGTGCAATTGTGATGAGAATACATGTCTTCGCTCTGTTCTGACAGTCTGAGATGAAATGAAGGCTTGAAGTGCTGTTTAAACGGCAGTGGGGATGTTCAATAGTGCCCTATCTAATTCAAAGCATCATGTCTCGTGTTCTGGCTCACTGAGCTGAGCATTATGGGTAGAGTGGAGCTCAGACATGAAGATATGACCTATTTCCCTTATTCCTTTCAAATTTTGACCCTGGGGTATATTTGTAGCAATAGCCAACAATACATTGTATGGGTCACAATTATACATTTCTCTTTTATGCCAAAAATCATTAGGATATTAAGTAAAGATCATGTTCCATGAAGATATTTTGTTAATTTCCTAAAAAAATATATCAAAACTTAATGTTTGATTAGTAATATGCATTGCTAAGAACTTCATTTGAACAACTTTAAAGATGATTTTCTCAATATTTAGATTTTTTTGCACCCTCAGATTCCAGATTTTCAAATATTGTCCGATCCTAACAAACCATACATCAATGGAAAGCGCATTTATTGCATAAATCTCAATTTCAAAAAATTGACCCTTATGACTGGTTTTGTGGTCCAGGGTCACAATTATGAACCGCAGCTGCTCTTTCAAACCACTGAACATGGCTTGTAGCAAATTCTAAGCATTCAAATTGGAGATGTTTATTGTTGTTTACCTTTCGTACCAGTGTCCAGGCAGCTGGGTCGAGCTGACTGTTTGGGAGAGGATGCTGGGAGCGAAAGGGGCGGGGCTTGATGTCGTGAGGACTGCGGAAAGCCCAGCTTCCCATTGGTCAGCAGCTGCCGGCGGAGGCTCAGCGCGGGAAGAAGGGCCGGGTTTCCAGATGTGGCATCGGGATGGAGCGATGGAGAACAGGAGTGACCCGTCTGGACCCTCACCTGAGCCGGACCAGACGGAGAAACCAACAGGTTACAGCCTTTCCCGTTCATGTCCGTCACTGGTCGACACAGAACACCATCTTCTGTGTTCACCTGATAAACATGAAGCATAATCAGATTTCAAACAGCTGAGCATTCGATTGGGAAACGTTTTGTCTGGTTACCTGAAAATGTGGCCTACATCTAAATGATCCACTTTTTTGAGTCAAAGCACTGACTACATTAGGTTGCACAAGTCAATCGTAAGGATCAGATGAGGTAGGAATAGCTCCTTACACTGTACTGTATGTGAATGCAGTACAATTTTACCACAGAAGGTCAAAGAGTGTCTAAAAGTACTATGGTATTACTTGATAGCATCACTGTACTTGTTTAAAAGGGGGAAATAAAGTGAACTACAGCAATGAGATATGGCTCTTGAGGTTCTGTGTTGCTAAGTGTTTGCTTAGTAGGTAATAATCAATGTTTTGAAACACATGATGCACTAAACAGCTCCAAAAATAACCGTAAACAGATTCATAATTTAATGTTACATTTAACGTCAACTGTGGGACAAATACAGCATATCACAGTATATTCAAACTAAATAAATTTTAATATTAAAAAATAAATAAAAACCGCTTCAGACGGAATTTCTGCCGCGGTGACGTCATGGGGATCAAATAAACAGCGTCAGAAATAATCGTAAAAATCAGATCTTTTCAGATTCGTATTTTAATGTTAGGTTTAATGTGAGGCAAATAGGCTACAGTGTATTTTAAGATTTCGTCGTGGTGTTCAAGCTGTTCAGTTTTTGCTAAGCTTCATTACAAATAATAATAATAATACTAATAATTAATTAATTAAATCAATAATGTAAAATAAACAAATCGCACATTCACGAATCACGCTCGTCCGTGAAACAAATGCAACTAATCAAAAAGTTGAATGGAAAGTTTATGGATCTCATTTCATGTTTCCGACAGTCACGTCGGTAAACTCACCTGTGCAAGTCTCCTCGTGTCACCTGCATCAGAGTAATACAGCGCTTCAGACAAACTTCTGCCGCGGTGACGGCACCAGGGCCGAGCTGCTTATTTCCCGAGTTTGAGCGGAGTTTGTCGTGTTTGAAGCGTGCTCGCTGTCAGTGAGTGCATGTGAGCTGCTGCTGTTGTGTGTGGCTTTGTGATGGTTGCCAGGGGCGGGTAGATCAGCCTCATTTTGCCCTTTTGCCCCACGAAGCCTCCAGCAGCATTACATCATGACACGCTTTATAAACACCATATCTGGATTCTTTTGGGATCCACATACGTTCTATTAATATCATTAATAATTAAACCGACGTTACTGTAACGTGTTTAATAACTTTTGGAAGTGCATTGTTGAGTTTAATATTCATGCAAAGCATTACAGGATTTACTCTCACTCAGAAATAATTACAAAGACTTAATTATAATAATGGCAAAGAACATAAAAACAGAAGACGCGTGTTAAATCAAAATGTTAATCAATAATTTAATGGTATATAAACACTGAGAATTGGTGTAGGATTACTTTGAAACAATTTTCACCCAGACATTGCTAGTAAATGTCACAATTGCACAGAAACGCCACCGAATTAAATAAAAATAGAAATGTATGAAAAAGCTAGTAAAAATGACAAAAGCACAACAATGACTAAAACTTAATATGGACAGAGAACATTTTATTTATATGAAGAAAGAAAGTTTAAAATAGCAGCGAAGTCAAAATATTATAAATACTATAGTTGTGCATGAAAACATTTGGTGTAGAATTTGCTCTGAATCAATTTTCACTCATTGCCATTAAATTTAACCAACAACAACAACAAGAAGAATCAGCAAGTAGCATTGAACTGAAAGAAAAGAAAATTGAAGTAGAAAGGCAGAAATGGTTTCTTTTCTCATGCAAGACTCGGTGACTCAGGGTTTTCAGTGTAATTATGTGCATGTTGATGGTGTAATATGAATGTATGACTGATTGGAATGATGTCTGTGCTCTGAGTGCTTGGTGATATCAGATATAAGGGAGATTTTAGCAGGTGTTGATTAGTTTTGTAATGGTGTATCTCACAGGTGACCTTGCCCTGTTGAAAAAAACAGCATATGCTGGTTAGATATGTTTTGTCGCTGGGATGCTGGTTTAAGCTGGTCCTTTGCTGGCAAAGGACCATCTTAAACCAGCAAAAGGACCAGCTTAAACCAGCAAAACGACCAGGTTAAACCAGCAAAAGGACCAGGTTAAACCAGCAAAACGACCAGCTTAAACCAGCAAAAGGACCAGGTTAAACCAGCAAAAAGACCAGGTTAAACCAGCAAAAAGACAAGATTAAACAAGCACACCGCCCACCAGCAAAAGGACCAGTTTAAACCAGCAAAGGACCAGCATAAACCAGCAAAAGGACCAGCTTAAACCAGCTTAAACCAGCAAAAGGACCAGCAAAGGACCAGCATAAACCAGCAAAGGACCAGCATAAACCAGCAAAGGACCAGCATAAACCAGCAAAGGACCAGCTTAAACCAGCATCCCAGTGTCAAAACATACCTAACCAGCATATGCTGTTTTTTTCAACAGGGTGTGTAAATCTGCTGGCTTGACATTGCTCATGACAGTCTTGATGCACTTGATGAAATGCTTCATGAATTCGAACATTGCAATAAAAAAGCACATCAAAATGAAATAGATGTTCATGCACTAAATAAATAAATAATACACTGGTACCCAGATCCTGCAGTATTCCAAATAGTGTTTTTTTAAATGTCTGGTTCGAGCTAGAGTTTCAGTCCTGACTTGAGTGTTTGCACAGTGAGTTCTGCTGCTTGTCATCATGGCAACAAGGTTGTTTATTCTTCAGGAGACTTGAGAAGGTGCTGGAGAAATGCACATCTGTGACCTAGTGCTGACCAAACAGGAATTAAATGCTGGCCTCTAGTGGAGATTGCAGGGCAGGAATGACATGGCCTTCACAGGCCTCTGAGCTTCTGCTGTATCGATTCTCTGCATTCATTGTGTTATAAATTACACACACTGTGTTCACACTAATGCAGTGCTGATACTGGAGTGACAAACCTAAAGCCTTTAGGTGCTGCTGGACTAAAGAATTAGACATGCAATTCTATTGTTGCCCCAATATTCAGAACTAATTCTTTCATTCATTGAAATAAAAACGGAAAAATACAATGGAAATGAAAAAAAACGAGTAGTTGCCATTTGCCGTGTGTAACTAACTGAAATAAAATAAGTTTGTTGACGTTCTAAAATTACTAAAACTATAACTGAAATAAAAATAGAATATTCAATAGAATCGATTACAAAATAAAATACTGAAAAACAAAAACTCATAAAAAGACAAAAGCAAATGAATTTAAACTACAACATTTAAATGAAGACAGAAAATATATAAAATAAAAGCTAAGTCAAAATACTAAATAATTCTGGTGTATGCTGATATCTGCTGTTTACTAAAACTATTAAAACTAATGTTTTTGTTCATTGAAATAAAGCGGAATTAAAATATAAATTAGATAAAAAACTTAAACTACAGTTTTGAAAGGTTATGTTGTCATGGCAACAACTGAAGCAAAATAAGCTGAAGTACTGAAATTACTCAAACAAATCTGAAATAATATAGCAATTTATTAAAAAACAAAAGTGAATAAAAATGACGACATCACAGAATAATGTTACAAAAACTTAAACTGAAATTTAAATGAAAACAGAAAATATATAAATAAAAGCTAGTTTTTGTTAATGGAAGTAAAGTAGCTGAAAGCTAAAAAAATAATAATTAGTTGCTTTAAAAAAAATACTAAATTACTAAAACATAAAGTAAAATTATCATGAAAACAGGACGGATAATTAAAAATATTAATAAATACTATAAATAATACTAATATATATATATTAGTATTATTTATAGTATTTATTAATATATTTGTTTGTTAGTTTGTTTGCATTATTTAACCATTTATAAAGATGGAAAAGCAATGGAATGTTTAGTAATGTTTTACCGAAGAAAGAAAGAAAGAAATATTGCCTGATTCTGATGATATATCAGCCTTTTTATTTGAAACTACTCCTAAAATGTGCAGCAGTGACATTTGAAAGCATTGGATCTGCTGGAAATGCACTTGCTCTTGTGTGTTGCTGGTGTTTGTCTCTCCAGCAGAGGGCAGCAGAAGAACAGACACAGACTGTCTCAAACAGGTCCTGTAGGTGAAACTGCAGTGTGATGATTATTTCATTCTGGCCAGAGAAACAGCAGGGTGGTGTTATTGTTTGACTGTAAAATGAAACCACAATTTCCACAGTTAACATGTAAACCTAGCAGCTTAGAAAAGTCAAATCAGCTTGTCAGTCCGTGAGAAAGACAGCAGTGCTGCTCACTGTTATAGAACTAGTCTCGACTCGTTATGATTAATGCCAAATTCACTATAGATTCATTAGTCGGCCATGCATTTATCAAACACAATGACCATTTCTATAACACCAGAAAAATGACCCCAAACCTACAAGCAGTGACCGAAACTTTTCCATTAATGGATGAAATTAAAATCAATTTGCAGGGGAATATTTACCTTTATAAAGGCAACTTTTCTAACCTTTTTAAATGTTTGTGTCCGCCTTACATTTATTGCATGAATGCATTTTGAATAATTATAAGACTGTTAATAATAAGTCTGTTACCAATCAAATGAAATCAGACAAGATCCATCTTTGGACTGCAGAAGCTGAATCTGAAGATGCATTTACAGAGACTGTGCAAATATAAGATTTATGTTTTAAATACAAAATATATTGAGTATAGAAATATGAAATGTTGGAAAAAATTTAATTCTACTTTAAATGTGAAACTAAAACTGTCAGTAGGTGGCGACATATCACTGTCTTAATGATTGATTGATTCAATGATTCATTCAAAACTCCTGATTCATTCAGGAATGAAGCGAGTCTTTATGAATGAGTCACTGAATCATTGACTCACCCGATTCGTTAAAAAACACGGAATTACTCAAAAACTAAACTATTGTTTTGGAGCAAAAACACTCAATATTGACAATATCTCAGCTAACAAAAATAAACAAACAAAAAGATTTTGCTAGCGCTACCATTAAGTAATGCGAAAATGTTCGATATAACGTTATTTCTGAAGGTTCTTTAACACTGAAAATGTCAATTTTCTAAAATGTTTAAAAAAAATGTTTTTGGTTAAGCAAACATTACGGGAATGTTACTTTTGAATGTTCTTTGAACGTTCTGAAACATAAAAATAACGTTTTTGTGTTAATGTTTTGAGAACGATGTTAACAACCATAACTTTGAATGAACATTCTATTAATGTTACTTTGTTCGTCACTTTGAGAGAACATTGCCGGAATGTTTCTTCTTAGCTAGGATTGTTTCTAAAATGTACTTATGTTATAATCTCTCTGTTTATTAATTATATACCTCTGGATAATATAATGGTATAAAACAGTCACGATGATCATCTGGCTCAAAGCTGCGCTCATGAAAGCCGAAGATACAAATGTTCATAAAAGCCCTCATTCAGTAAGTCACAGATGAAGGTCTAAAGGTTTCCTCAGTTCCTGCATGATTATAATGCTGCATTTCTCCAGACTCTGAGGAGAAGCTCTCCTGTGATTAATGGAGAGCGCGGCACCCATTTGAAAGGCTGTGAGAGCTCATTTCTGCTGGATAATGTCATGCGGCGTGTGAATGTCACCAGCTCCGTGTTCACCTCAGCTCATCGAGAGAGAGAGAGCACTTCACTCACAAACTCCTGTTGTTCACAGACGCTCTCAGGCAATATCTGGAGGTGAACAGATGCATGAGAGGAAATGAAAAGATGTTCAAGTCTCTCCATGCACTGCGCTCTACTGTACTCCAGTGATAAACTCCAGCTGAATCATCAGCGTCTCATTAGGAAGAAATGCTGTTTTAATTGCAGAAGCGCTCAGGGCTTTGGCCCGAGGCAGACCAGCATGTGAAGTTATGCTGAGAGTTATAAAGAGCACTGAACGGACCAGCGTGAACCTTTAATCTCTCA